AGGAATAACGTACAAATTAAAGCACGGATCACTGAATCAAATCCATCTTCATTAAATAGCCACAAAACTGTAGAAAGAAATCTTCCAGCCACTACTTCTACTCTGCTTCCAAGAACATAACTGGATAATTGTGATGTTTCAGAATAATGGAAGCATAAATGCCAATGTTTTGACTATTACTTGAAAAATATGAACATCTATCCAAAATCCAAAACTGGGTGATCATTTGATTGATCCTAAAAGTAACAGAAACAATGAGCATTTTTTTGTTTCAAACCTTCAGATTGATACAAAAAAATAAGGAATGAAGAAAAAAGTAAAATTTTTGCCCTTCCAACAGAGCAGTATGACTAGGATATATTTTTATGTGACTTTATGCAAATGAACAATTATTCACAAATCTGTTCCCTTATTCCTGTCAAAAACAACCTTCACACCATACATCTCTTTATCTCAGCTTCTTACTAGATTAAGCTATTTAGAAAAGAAGCAGCCAAAGGACCTTCATTGTTTTTACATTTTCCATACTCACATGGATGCCCAAGAGTATGTCTTCCAATGCCTTCTTTAACACCAGATATACGAGTGAGGACTTGGTGACAAATTTCAAATACTGACAGGCTAAAAACCCAAAACAACATTTCTGGATCACTGCAAATGAATAAATACCCATGAAAAACAAGTGCAGACATTCCACAGTGGGAAAGGTGCAGGATTGAGGTAAAATCAGACACAAGATTTTCAAGAGAACCAATTTATTGCTACTCTCTCCTAAGGTGTTCAGATGGCTTTTATTTTAGCACTTTTGTTGCATATTTCCTCTTTAAGGAAAGTGTAAGGAAATGCACAACAGAAGTGCTGAAATAAAAGGCCTCTGAACAGGCAAAAGCAACTGCAAATCACAACGATATAAAAATGGCAACATGCATGTGGTAATGCCATCACACAAATTATGTACTTGTTGCCTGACATCTGATGCAAGTTTCAGCACTTGTGTCCATTGTTCCACAACCCACAGACACCAATTTAAATAGCCTCTAGATCTAGAAACATACTGAAAGGAAGGTATGGCAACATATTAGCCTGCCCCAAAATAGAATTCTGACTTAACCTCTCTGTGGAACATTGACTTGCAGTTGGGACTTTAAACTCTGGGAAAATTACTTAAAATTCTAGTTAATAAAAACTGTAATTAAGAGAATAAGAACACACAAGCATACATGACGAAGGAGATGGGAAGTATTTCTTCTATTAAGCATTCCTCCCAGACTTAATAATAATACACTAGTCTCTTATCCCCAAGACTAGGAACGCTACAGGCCAAATTCCTTCTTCAAGGACACCATTACATGGATCAAGGTCAAATGCAAGCGACTTCCTAAATATATATAATACAAAACTTAAGCATAATAGTTTGCAGTTAATAGTCTGTAACAGATGAAGATTAAAAAAAGCTAAGCAAGCAGTTTTGATATTTTCCATTTCAAAGGTTGAAGTAGCTAAATTGCTCTGAATTTATAAGCTGGCTGACAGCTATCCAACTCCAACTTTTTTAAAAAGAAAGTGAAAAATCAATGTTAAAGGTAACAGATTCTTAGAGCTATTTTAGACTTCTGCACAATCACATGTATGCAGGCTGAAACTCATCATTAGCTGTCACTTAGTTTTGGAAAAAACTGAGTGGACATTATTTGCACTATGATGCAACTCACACATGTAAGTCAGACTTTAAAGAAGCAGGATAGGAAGAGTATTGACACCTTTGAAATTTGGTATTGGAGAAGACTCCTGAGAATTCCGTGGACAGCCAAGAAAACAAACCAATGGATCATTGAACCAATCAACCCAGAGTTCTCACTTGATGCACAAATGACCAGGCTCAAATTATCCTACTTTGGACACATTATGTGAAGACCCGGCTCTCTGGAAAAGGCTCTGATGCTGGGAAAGAGAAGAAGAGGACAACTAGCAACAAGGTGGACGGTCTGTTACAGTGGTGATGAGTGCACCATTGGTAGACTTGAAAGAACAGGTTAGGGACAGTTTGTCATGGAGAAAATCTATCTACTGTATATGGTCACTGGGAGTTGAAAACAACTAGATGGCACATAATCAATCAAATCAATCATTTGTTTTGGAAAAAGCTGAGTGGATATTATTCACACTATGATGCAACTCACATATATAACTAGTACATTTAATGTAATTGCTCATAGTTAAGACTAGATTCATACACCATGCTATGCCGGTATTTGCTTTAGCCAAAGTTCGTTGAATAAGCCAGGTTTCTATTTTACTTATAACCCTAAACCATATCCCATGATCTATAAATCACAACAACTTGATTCTAATATCAGGCTATACCAAAATGAAGCAAACCACATTAAGTACTTAAGACTTAACATGAGGTGCGAGCACAGCCTAAGTACTTTAACACTGGAAATGTCTAGCCATATTCTGCAATAACCAATTTGTTCATTTTAAGGTGCCATGAGACTACCTTTGCTACATTAGACTAACACAGCCTAGAGATATGATTTCATGTAAACCAGTATGGTTAATTGCATCTAAATATGTCAGATCTCTTCTTTTTTTAACCAGTTCCTTTGTTAATACTAAATTGTACTTCTCTTCCCTTTCTCTGTTCCTCCTGATGTAAATCACAGATTGTAAGCAGAGATCTGCCTTCTAGTATTGTATAAAATGAGATCCCAGAGGATCCCACATGATACTTAAACCATGTTTTTTAAGTATCCCACATACTTAAACCATGTTTTTTTTACAAAACATAATCGTTGAGTTCATGCAACATACTAAGCCAAAATAAAAAAAACTACATTATGATTTAGCATGATATGTGAATCCAATCTGTGCTATAAAATTAAAATGCTTTCCAAAATTGAGTAATTAGGAATCTTACAACTTCTATCACTTGCCAAACCTCAGTTTTGTCATCCAATTGATTAAAGTCTCAAAATTAGCTGAATCTTCAGTCAAGTATAATATTCATATTCTATTGTTTTACAAGTTAAACTGGTTGCTCTATATTCATAAGCTCCCCTCCAGCTTAATATTCAAGGCATTTACAAATGAAAGGCAGAATCCAGTGCCAGCCTTCCATTGATATAATTGTTCTCACCAGAACAAAAGGAATTAGTCCTCCAAACTACACACAATTTACTTTGAAGGATGTGCAATCTTCCGGAATAGCCTACATGTGTGTAGGACAGCCTTCTCCTGGTTCCACTGAGACATGTGCATCTGTTAGCTCCTAATTACAAACTGCCAATTAGGGGGGAAAAAAAACCTAGCAGGACTAGTCCACATTAGCAATTGTCGTGTCACATTATAACATGGTTATGTGGTACCACTCTGACAGATGTATGCCCCCTTCCTAGTTTTGTGTATCAGGGCTACAGTTACTGAAAAAAGTTGCAGTCTACATGGGCTCTCAGAAATAAGTAGTAAATAATTCAATTGATTAAATTTGAGAGACAGCTGGAACCAACACTGGCAATGAAAGCGAAAATTCAGGGGTTTTGAATATGCATACACATATTATTCCCTCTTGAGGGTGGGCAACATTATGCAGAGTGAAGAAAAAGAGGACAAAAATAAGCCAAAGAAATAAAAAGTATAAAAACATCGGGCCAAAGTACTATTTTCCCCTATATTTTCATGCATATTTCAGTAACACATGACACAATATGCATTCTTTCTTCAATTCACGTACTGCCCCAAGTCTTTTTTTTTTTAATATCCCTATCTGTGTTTTAATTTTCAAAACAGGGATTTTAAGATGGCTTTGATAGCTGATGGAAACTAAGCCAACTGTGTAAATACTCTGTATTATTGCCCATGCAAGTTTCACTGCTTAAAATATCAACAGGCTAGTGGGGGTTCCATCGTAAAATTGTGCTAAAAAGTTGTCAGTCCCTGTGTGCAAGTTTAATTTGGACTATCAAGCACACCAATGAACTGTAAGACAGAACCTAAACACAAGGATATGCACACAACATATTAAACCACCCAAAAAAATAATAATAAATGCAAAAGCATTCTAACACACTGAAATTTTGAAAACACCGTGCACCTCCAAATATCTTTTTTTCTTTTTAATAAAAGAGATCTGCAGGAAGAGGCAACCAAGTCACACATTGAGAGTCTTCTTGCACCACCGTCTGGCACAGCCCCGCAGCTGAAGGAAAATACGAGAAGAGACCGTACAGGTATCGCCCAGGGCACAGAAGCCGGTTCTGTGACTCCCATCAGGCGTGGGATTCGGCTGGAAAAGCAGCAGCAAGCTAAAAAACACAGCTGCACGTGCCCAGTCAGCCGCTGCCGTGTACCAGGGACTGCAGAGTGTTTTCCTACAGCGAGTCGCAGGCACGCCCATGCCTGTTTGGGGCACCCTCTTCGTAACTTGGAAGCGTTTGCTTACTCAGTACAAATAAGCGGAATTACACTGTCCCAGAGGCGTTTCATGCCCGGGCCCAGGGGCTGGAAATCGCCAGACCCTCAAGGGCAGATACCAGCATTCCTAAGCGAGACTCTCCTCAGTCTCACTCCCAAGGACTGCGTGCGTACACGTGTTTATGCGACTGCCCAAGAAAGCCAGCCTGCGCGCGGGATGCGCCCCTCAACGCGCTTCCCGAGGCTGACGCTCCCGCCGACCCGCCAGAGACGCGTGTCCGGGCGGGC